CACACACACACACACACACACACACACACACACACACACACACTTAAACCTGTTTTGATAGAAGAAATGATGTATGTATATACTGAATGCTGCAAACAACATTGTGCAGGATACAAACCAGAAGGGAGGTACTCCCATTTCCCTACTCAATTCCCGTCTTCACAGCTAGATTGGCACCTTACATTCTAAAACCTGTATCACCGAGTCTCCACTCTCAGGTCATGCATAACGTGATAACCAGGCCAACACATTCGGCACACACTACGTCTTTCCAGCTGGATCACTGGACAAAACGCACACAAGCCAGTAAAAAATAAATAAAATAAAAATCATGTAAGCAATGCTACAAACTGCTAGAAATGAAGGGATTTTCTGCAACAATAAACATAAAAGAGTCCCAAAATACTTATAAAACACTGTTCTATGAGCTGCAATTGGCAGACAAATGTCTGAACAGAAACAAAAATAGGTAATCTCACTGATATATAAACACCTGTATAGGTTTTTCCCTCAGATTGTTATTTTCCAATGTTAGCATTGTGAAATTATATTGTTTTTTTTCATAGGTTCCATCATTTTTGTTTTATTTTCTGGCCCTTTTGTTGTTTTTTGCCTTTACTATTTTTTTCCTGCCACTGCAGTATTTTTAGTTTCCTTCTCTTGTGGAATTAAAGTTTTGAGTTAATCTACCCACCTGTTCTGCATTAGGGTCCTCCATCTGCCTGATGTTTTGCAACAATTTAATTATTTTTATCTTTTCATGCCATAATCTGGAGTTTTGGATCATTTGATGAACGTGTGTGAGTCATTTTACTTTACATATTTAAATTTTTTTATAAAACTCAAAACATTTTTTAGAAAATGGTTTAACTTTTAACGTATGAAAACTTGGGGTGTAGAAGAATAAAACAGATGAAGACATTTTTACAAGTAAATRTAGAATAATATTGTATTTAAAGGAGACATATGCTTTTAAAACCTTCTTTTTCACATTTAAATCATTCAGTTGGGGTCTGTACAAAGTGGAGCATCAATGCTTTGGTATGAATTCCTCCTTACTGTAACTCCAAAAGCCCCTCTTTCACCTGTTTTGCGTGTCTCAGATCAACTCGTTTTGAGTCATTTTCTTTAAATCGAAATGAGGCACCTCACACCACACTCCCCTCCAGCTTCTGGAGTGATCCCATCTGGTTGGGGGGTTTTCAACTATAAATGAGTGAAGAAACTTTTTTTATTTACAAATTAATTAAAATATGTCAACAAGGGAAGACTTGCCCATCCAACCACTGGAGCCAGAGTCTGAACCAGAGCTAGAGAAGAATGAAGACTATTGTAGTTTGTAAGTCCAGACCTTATTTGGCAGTTCTGTCACAAATAATATAACCCAATAATTGATTTGATTTGATTTATTGATTCAACAGGAAAAGATTACTAAAAATTTAGCCTGACTCAGCATAATTGCTGTTTTACAGCAGGTTCCTGTTCTGCAGCACATAAAACACTCAGAAATACAGCATCACAATCACATCATTATACACCRTAGACACAAAGACAAACAAGCATAACAAATTTCAGGAAGGCAGCATTTGCAAAATAGGATGTCTAAATATGAGCACAACAAAAAGTGTCCAGCAGATGGCAGACAAGATTCTTCTTAAAGGGCTGTAGTTTTGAAATGGACTTTATGTTTTGAAGAATGTCATTCCATGCTTTAGTATAAACATAGAAGAAAGACCTCTGGCCGTAACAGTTTCTAAAAGTTGGTAATATCAGTTGTCCTTTTGTAACATCTACATCTAAGATCTAGTTCAACGACYAATTCAGAAAACGTCACAGAAAATAGAGAAAATGAACAAAATATGATTCAAACAGAATATAAAAATATCTCAGCAGCACTAGGAGAAACTAAATTAAACTTTTCTGCACTTCTAGAGACTCCAAGTTCACAACAAAATGCATTTAACAGCTAAAAAAGTGGATTTTGAATTATACAGTATGTYCCATTTAAACCAAACAATGCCAGCAAATTATAACATTCATCTAACAATATTACGGCCAATAAGGGAAGTGTTTAGTTGCATGACCAAAACCATCACCTTCACCAGTCATTTTCAGTTTCTGGGTATGTTTCAGTCGTACTGATCACTGCCTCAGATTCTCCTTCGTACTGCTTCCTTCTGGGTTTGGCACACAGACGGAACTGCACCCACCAGCATGAATCAGGAGCCTTGGCCACTGACACTCCAGAAAGGAGAATGCTTGCCAATAGGGAAGCTTAAACTATCAACTACACTCTAAATATGGAAACACACACACCAAATCGCTGGTTTTCTTTACAATTTTAATACTCTAAAACAACCATGGGAATGAAACCCGATGAGCCTACAAGACTGAGCCGAGTATGGATAATAAATAAGGGTGTAGAACAGAGCTGGAGAATGTCGGTGTTGAACGCTGTAGCAGCCCTTCTTGTTGGTGACCACCAGCATATTGAATTTCCCAGCTCACTGCTGTCTACAGCAGATACCGTCTGATTACGGGCATCTCTTGTCCTTGCTGTGACCTGCTTTACACACATATGGAATCCCCACCTTTACATCATAAGAACACATACAAAAGCTGTACAAACAACCCTCGTCTGCACAACATTTTGAACATCTAGCCTAGATTTGACATTACGAATGAAAAAAAATGTAATGGATTTGTCAGAGAGATTGCACGCAGGGAAACATGCTATTACTCACCTGCACGGCTGCATGGTGAGTC